AGATGGGACCAAGAAACTGATTCTATTCCACCACAAAGGACACTGCCTCAGGCTGAAGATGAATGTCAATATTTAGGGGACTATTCAGACAAAACCAATAGGACAGTGTGAACTGAGGTCACATGATACAGTGATGAGTAAAAGGCAGTTTGTTTTCTTATGTGTGAAAAACAGCTCATTAACAATTGTTTAACCACCATCATTAACAATAGTAATATTCATAATAATTAAATGTATATGTATAATATATATATACAAATGAATACAATATATATATATATATATACATATATATATATATATTTATTCCACCAGAGCGTGAATCAACAACATCAGGTTCCATTTCTTATTCTGGTTCTAGATGTTGTTGCTCTAGTAAAACCATCTTTTCCCACTGATAGAAAAACCAAAGAAACATCACCATGTCCTCAGCAGTGAGTCACTTCCCTCACTGTGTACTGTGTGTGTGTGTTAGTCCTGCAGAGCTCTAATTGTCATCTCAAACCCGGAGGACGGCCATGTGTTTACAGCATGACCACTCAGCCACTGTCAGACAGGGATTGAATGAAGTTTGAGTTTCTGTCCTAAAAAGAACATAATATAAATGTAAACTTTCCCAAAAGTATTTTATTCAACTCTATTCAGAGGATTTGGTCATAACTCTTGTTGAGACTAAGTATTTAGCTACTGGTCTGATTATACACACTGAATGCTAATTAGACTCATTTTGGCAAACATTAGATAATAGTAGAAAGGAATGAATAAAAATGCAGAGAAGCCCAGAGAGAGTCGAGAAACAAATTAAAAGATTCAATACAAGGCTTAAAAAAATTAATTGACTTAGAATAAAGGTGCGGTAAATCTGAGACACTACAACAAAAGACTGGAATTGGAGTCAGTGTGAGGAGTATTAATTATTTTGGCAGTGAAAATATTTCTTTTTCAGCCATTTTTATATGTGAGAATAAAATGTTATACATTTCTTTGCTTCCGGTGTCTGCTGCAGCTGAATGCCTGAATACTGTATTCTATTCTCCCACAATGCAAAGCTTGAAGCAGAAAATTCCTTTGACATTTTAGGGCTGCCTGCTTGTCAGTTAGACTGTACAATAGAAGTAAACAGACACAGTCAGGAAGAGGAACACAAAACAAAAGTTTGATCAACAACAAACAACATACACTACTTTAGAAAAAATGTTTTTTAAATGATAAAAAGATTGAGGGGCCAAAGAGTAGCAATTAGCAGAAGGCAAAAAATGTCAATATTATACAAAACCTATGAGTGAGCACTAAAATTACCACGTCACTGAATGATCATCAGAGCAGACATTTATGAGCCGGTAAAACGTGCATAAAGCCGAATGAAAAATGTATCAAGGATGGAAATAATTACTAATTACTTCCTTCAATGTTGAACTTAATTAAAAAAAAAAAAAAAAAAACGATTATTGAACAAAATCCCCGCTGACCGCCTCACTGTGGTGGACGTTTTGAACAGACAGCACCAACAGAGGGAGGTGTCAATGCTCTTGATCCCACATCACTTCAGCTTATGTACAGCTTATGGTATTGGATTGTTGCTACACATTTATGTGCCTCTCACCCACCTTTAAATCACAGACACGGGATGACAACAAATAGCACAGGTGGGAGGAGGATTACTCTTCCTTCACCTGTTTTTACTGTATATTAAAGGTACTCTCCCCCACTCCCCTCTCCCCCCCCAAGAGGAGGGAGCAGGAGAGGTAAAAATGAAAGGGCAAAAATAAGCCAGATAGAAACTGAGGAGGAGGAGGAGGAGGAAGAGGAGGAGGGAGCAGGTTGTATTTTTAACACGGTGCAGCTACTGAAGGGTTTTTTGTCCCTTTATTATTATCCTTTTAATCCCTTTTTGATTCAGTAAATGTCACAGCAAAAAACGACAGAGGCGAAGATAATGAGAAATGTGAATCAAAATGAGAGATTGTTACAAAATAATTTTATTATTAATAATAATTTAAGTGACAGTACACTACAGCTGTCTACAATAAACAGTACTGCTTCGGCCAATAAGAAATGATTTTATCACTAAACCTGTTAAATAAATATTAAGCATTTGTTATATTTATACAGACTGTGTTCAGTCCCAGAGGGAATTTACTTTGGAGAGTGTCATTTATAATTAATGTCCAATTTAGAAACTGAGTAATAAAAAATGGAAAAAAAATGGCATCAGTTCAGAGTTCCACAGAGTTTCAAAGTGTGTCTGCTCCTGTGCTCTCATTCTTCCTTCCCCTTCTTTTTCTCCCCCATGTCCCCCTTTCTCTCTCTCTCTCTCTCTCTCTCTCTCTCACAGCTGAACACCGTTCTGAATCTGCTGGAGATTTCTTCCTTTTAAAATGAGTCTTTTCCCACCCATTGTTAGCAAAATGCTTTCTCAGTGTTTAATTTAATTTGCATTTCAATAATATCTGTAAAACCTATTCTGCTCATAACATTTATAATATATACTGTGTTCCATTATTTTCCCATATACAGGCTTTATTAACAGGACGGTCTTATTTCTAATTTTAACTCCTCTGAAGCAAATTGGTTTTGAGCTACTGACTTGACTTAAAGACACCATCAACCCTCCAGTCAGACATTTGTGGGCACAGTTGCTCTTCTGTATAAAAAGGCTGTGGTTTAAAAACATTTCCACTTAGCATCAGTTTCATTAAGAAAGCATCTATCTTCAAGAGTCGATTAAATCCAAGAAAACCCTCAGCAACAACAGCCCCATCTGCCTGTGTAATACTTTAAACGGAGATTTCAGACTGAGTCTCAGTTGCATTGTAGTATTTAATCCCCAATATACAGTATCCACGTCTGAGAAGATCATATGTTTACTAATGTCATTTCTGGAGGGGTTTTACAGCTTCAGGCATCAACAGAGACACCCGTGTCCATCCAGGGAATCAAACCATCACCTGCACGGCAAACAGCTGCAGCTGCTGTGGTTTATAAATAAATCTAATAAACCTATGGCCCATGATCTTTGTTAAAAAAGCACATGGAAATTTAATAAAAACAAATTGAAATTGACAATGATTTTTGTACAGATGGAGGCGAGGTCAGACTGAGTAGGTTATCCTGGCTACATCTTGCTACCGGGACACTGGACTGTGATGCTATCATTTCCAGAAATAGCCTGGTGAGGAGGCGACATAAAGGTCCAGTTCATTAGCGCAGAGGCTGTCTACGTGATCGACTACTGTGACAGTTTGCAGCAGCGACGTCTTCACCGAGCCAAAGCAGAAATAGGCTAACGCCTCAGCAGTTAGAGGGCAGCTAAAACACGAAGTAACACCTAAGGACGTGCCCTTTTAAGCTGTAATTACACAACGTCACAATATCAAGTAGAGAATCTGTTCTCTGTGTGTTAACAGAAGTTATAATATAATTAACACTGAAACTAAAGTGTGACTTTAAAGATACATTTGGAGAAAAGTTCATTCCCTGTTGATACAAGGACTAAAAATGTTTTACAACTGTGTCCAACTTCATCATCTCACATTGGTAAAAAACTGGGAGAACAGAACAGAGCAACGTGACATATGGTCATCAATTTTACAGTTAATCTGCTTAAAATATATACTTTTCTCTCACACACACACGTACATTCTAATCCTCAACTGAAAGTGACCATCACTGTTTTCCTCTCATCTCTAGCCTCTTTCTCTCCTCTCCGCTGCTGCGTTGCTCAGGATGAAATGCACTTTCTTCCACACTCCACCTCATCTACATAATGTTTAGTAATTACACAGATTGCAGAGAAGAGTTGGCCCCACATTTAATGATTGCAGTAGCAGTAAAACAATTTAATCAGCTGAAGGGTCACCAATAAACAGCAACAGCAGTGAACTCTGACAGTTGCCAGATCTCTGACTCTTCAATCTTTTTTTTAAATGTAGTCTCCTTTAGACATACGACTTCATTTTCATTTTTTTAAAGTGTCATGTGAATGCTGGTAGAACGAGAGAGAGAGAGAGACATGGAGAGCAGCAGGACCTTCTGAACAGTAAGGTCACAGACAGAGCCAATCAACCCTTAAAAGCTTTTTCTGTTATTTATCCAACAAGATCAATGTGTATCACTTCACCATAATAAAGTTCAGTTTTACTGCTCCACCAGTTCCAAAGAAAATAAATCACAAAGACTGAAGATTGCTAACTGGACCACACGCAGCGGAAAAGTACCGGCAATATCTTTAGACGCCCGCTGACATTTACTCAAATTTTTGGTCCTCTATTTGAACTAACACACTCATCATTCTGCTGCTCTGACGTCATTCTTTACACACAGTCAGCATCTTTTTTTTTTCCTAACATTTAATCCCTTTAAGGGCCACAGGGAGAACTGGAGCCAATCCCAAGGTCAGGGTTCACACTGGACAGCTCACCGCTCCATCACTGGGCCAACACATACAGAGGCTAACAACACTTCACATTCTTACTAACTCTATGTCCAATTAACTATTGTCCAATTAACCTTAACGACCTGTGGAGGAATCTGAATCTGAATCTGTGAATCTGAGTACTTAGAGAAAAGAAAACACAGAAAGACCAGCAGTCAGCACTGGGGTTCAAACCGGTGACCTTGTTCCTTCACGGCAACATCATTACCCACCCTACCACCATGTGGACCCTGTCTACACTTAGTCAAGCTCCCTCCATGTTACTGTGACACTGCTAGGACCGACTGACAGATAGACGGGTGTGTTATTTCATGCATAGGTGTGTGAGTGTGTGTGCATCTAATGCGTGTTAGAGACGGCGCTGAATAAACGCTCGGAAATGATTCCAAAACGAGGGCTAATTGTCCGATTAGATGTGCTTCAGGTTCATAGATGCACAGTAGGCCGTGCACATGAAGCACTCATTAAGGACCATTACAATATTAAATTATGACTGAGGGGTGTGGGGGCAGTGGGGGGTCCTCACACGTCCCAGTGCGTCTGTGTCTGTGTGCTGGTGCAGTACCTGTACTGTGTGAACGTTGTTGCCTGGGAGTCTGCACCTGTCTGTGGGAGAGACAAAGAAAAAGGAGGGATGGGCGGTCAAATTAGCAGTTCACTAATTACACTTTTTAATTGCTCTCTCTCTCTCTCTCTCTCCAACTCATCTGCCATTCCTGAGGACAGGATTTGAAATGCAAATGGCCCGGTTGTAGAAACAAGAATGCTGCAGCACCTTTAACACACCAGAGGTGTTAATTACTCCCACACACAACCTGGTGGCGACTGCAGGTAGGAGAATACTTCATAAACCTCCTCCTCTTCCTCCTCCTCCTCGGCATGTATTTAAACCAAAGCACGACTCGGTTTATTTGAATTTTGGAATGGTAGTCAGTGCTCACATAGGAAGGGAGCAAATGAGCACTGAGTTCCTCTTCCTGTGGTTCTCGTGGAAACACAGGAGGAGGCAACTTAGCATGTACATACACACACACACACACATACACATACTGCATAGATCCACTCTGTTTCTGAGAAGTACTGATTTTCACCCCCGCTGTGGAAAGAGATGAAAAATCAGAGTTGAGAGGCATTATTATTTAAAAGAAATAGGGACAAAGGAACTGAAGGACTTTCTTTGTTTGACACAGGACTGGGAGTTGTTTAATTCAGAACTGTTTCCAAAGAACACTCTACGTGTGCTCGTACAGGAGTCTTGCTCACCTTCTGGGATATAAAATGACACACTTTGCTGACTGTGCGCTTTTGAATGAGAATAGTGTCATTCCTACTTGGGTTTCACCCAGAAGAGGAGGTTGATTAAATGAAGGAAGACGCGGGCTTCATTACTCATTCTCTACATACAGTACGAGGCAGAGATACTTAACTCCTGCCCGCTGTGACTGCCTGGGACGCAAAAACATACAATTCCGTATTCCACACAGTATTTTCACAGTCAGAGGAGACGGCTCTGAATTATGTGGAGGGTGTTCCGACTGACTCACAGACACAGATTTGCATTCCCCCCTGCACATCGACAAAAGAACACAAGCCTGCTGTACTAGTTCTGTCATTGTCCCGCTGAGAAGACAAAAGTCACTGATGATCCCGGCTCCTTCCTCTGACTGCGTTACAGTTGTGAGACCAACACCGTGCAGAGGTTTTGCATGTAAATGACATCAGGCTGCTGTTGTACAGCCTGCTGAGCAGCCGTCAAAAATGCTGTGTTAAGAGGAAAAAAAAAAGACAGAACGAAAAAAGCAGCAGAAAAGACTGTCCATAACAAACGCACTGCATTTCTAAACTGAAGAGACAACACTGCTGTGTCGACTGTAATGAATCAATTAGCATAAAGTGTTGAGAAACATTACAGACACTGGAAGTTACAAAATGAGTGTCAGAACAGTTGAGAAATAGAGATTCAAATTTGCAGGAGCCTTATCAGAAGAACAAATGCAAATTCTCCTCTTTCTTTAACTAAAAATATATTTATAACATGCATAAATGCCACAAACATATATATACATATACAGTACTTGAATAAGGTATACGTCACATTTTTATCTTAAACTGTACCGGTGTTTTCCTTTTTAAAGATTCAGATAAAATAAATGAGGTTGTATCCCTCATGTGTACAAAAATATGATGATTTGAAAACCTAATGTGTTTCCCTGCCTCTATTCTTAGCCTTAACATTATTCTATATCAGTGCGGTCGGAGCCACGACATAAATCATAATGGATTATTGAATTAGGGAAGTATGAAATCCCTGGGATGATAGATAGCCGGTACACAGTTAGGGTGGCAAACAGACACTTGTAAATTCTATCGTGGATAGTCTTTTTCCTTCTCCCTCTCTCCCTCTATCAGTGGACGATCCCTGTTCCTTGGTGTTGACGCAGCAGATGGATTCCCTACCACCGACAATTCATCACCTGCCACACCAAAATCCTGCCTTTTCCTCCTTTACTCCAATGAAAAATGGGTTTTCCTCCACATTTTCCCCTCTAGGAAACACAATACGGTTAATGTGTCATCAAGCTGGTTTATCACATGGCCCATCTTGGAGAAAAATACTTTTTTTAACTTTGTCTTGCAACGTAAAAAAACTTGAATTTCATACCCAGAGGAGAATGACTAAAATGAAACTGGAGCTAACAGGAGAGAGTGTGAATGTGAAAACTGTTTTTCTAAAACAAAGTATTGAAAATGACTCCGTCATTTCTTCTCTTTGTCTAAAACCTCTTTAATATTCTACGAACAACACCTGGTTTTTTAACTGATTCCCTATTGTTTGTGTGATAACGAGGTTTTTGATCCAGGTGAAAAAAATATTGATGTTTTTTCTTGCCAACTATGAAAGGAATAATGGAGACTGTGGTAATTAGTTTGTAAATGTGTTTACATTATTGGATTTAATTTAGACATCGCTTCTCCACGTCAGTGAAAATAATGAAGCTAACAACGCTGGAGGGGCCTATTAGTGGGAGCCAAGACGGCTGGCTGAAAACGAGACGTGTCTTATCTCTGCAGAGACGGGAATGAAGTCGGAGTCAAATGACATTTAAACTTCAGGAATGAAACTTTATTAAACTCTCTTTAATAAAGAAGAGTATATTGTCAAATTCCTTGCGGACACTGCAGGCCATAAAAGCCTTCATCGTTTTGTAAATTTTAGTGAGTTACTGTATGGAGTTTGTACTGTATGTTCTGGTGTGGTATCAAAGGTAGGGACATTAAAATATATAACATATACACATTTATTAGAATATCCGTTTGGAGAGATGGTTCTATTTATTAGAATATCCGTTTGGAGAGATGTATTATATTACAGTAAACTCTGTGATTTACTGCTCTGTCATTGTAGATCTTTAATAAAAGTCAGGCTAATGAGGCTAATAATGAGCAACTGACCCCATAGAGGCAGACAGAGCAAAGAGGCGGAGGAGATGTGCAGCAACAGGCAGAAAGAAAGAGAAGGAACCTGGAGATATCCTAAACTGAGAACTTGGAAGATTATTTTTATTTGTTTATTTTAAATAACTAATTTCTCTCAGAAATGGGTCTGTAGGAGTCTTTAACAGACCACTCACTGAAACGCCAACAGAAACCTAACCTCCCTAATGTGTGTAAAAGTGTTTCACTCAGTAAGCCGTGCATGCACTGGTAATATTTTCTAGGAATTACACAATCGAGCTGCTAAATGAAGAATAAAATTAGTTCCATTAAGGAAATTCTGCAACATAACACAGAGGGGAAAAGTCCAGCAGACTGAAGTTAACGTCTACGTTTATGTATCTATGAAAGTTTGATTGTATTTAAAAAACAAAATCTTTCAATGCAACCTTTAAAAAAGCTTTTCCAACATTTTCAGTGAATTCCACCAACAACAGAAATCCACATGATTTTGTTTAGTCAAATCTTTAACTGCAGACCCTTCAGATGTGAAATTTAAAGCTGTTTCTTAATTTATAGATTGATTTTCAAGTTTAGAATTTGGAACTTATTTCGTCCAAACTGAACATTATAGAACAAGTCAAGTCAATTTCTCAAAACACATTTGTACCAATTGTTTGTCTCATTAGACTTCACAGTTTTAAATAAACACTTAAAACCTAAACAGTTTTAATTTTTTTTCAACACATTTTCTGTTCCTGTGGTTTTTATTAGCCATGGCTAAAAAAAGGAACGGGAAACACATTACTGCATATACAGTATCTATACAACAGGCCATTCAGCAGCCTGTAGAGACAGAACACTGTTTGTCAGGAGAGTAGAGTGAGGCCGAGCGTTCAGGTCTGACCACGCAGATCCTGGAGGATGAAAAGGGAGCATGAGAGAAAAGGAAGACGGCAGTGAAGGGCACGGCTCAGTCCATTTCCACTGAACCTCGCTCCAGTGGGAAAAAGGCAGGTCATGTGTTTGAAAGAAAATCCCTACAGTACATCTTTACAGCTTCCATAGTAGGAACCTTCTGGATTGATAATCACGATGATGCCCTACCTCTAAACACAGACTGTCCTCAATGACACATTATATGAAAACACGGCTCTATTTAAAGTCATTTTCACCAATTTAACTCACCACAGAGAACTTATTAACTTATCAAAGCAGCAAAGAAAATACTCTTAATGGAAATGGAAATTGGAGGAGCTGGGGTAACACAGAGAAAATATTCCTTGGGTGCAAACAAAACCAGACGATATGGAAGGCTAGTTAGACTTTTCCCAAATTGGCTACGGCTGTGTGAATGGATTCCTAACTGCGGACACATTCTGCATGTCAAGCAAGTGCGGGCAAGAAAAAAAAAAAAAACACAAATGAGGAAATCAAGCTAAAAATAAAACTTTCTCAGAAACAAACTCTGTCTTGTGGATGTGATTAGGGACGACTGCTGCAAAACCAACACACACATTTCTACAAGTTAGACTTGTAATAAGTGTGTTAGTGCTGTCACTTTTCATTTGAAGTTGGAATATCCATTTTAGACGAGGGTAAAAGTTCACATTCCAAGATTAAAACCCTGTTAGAGAAAACCTCGGTGTCTAAAATGGTTACTGCGGCTCAGCAGAGGGCGCTGGAACGTACAGCTGGCTATGAATTCCTCAGCAGTTTGCCTATTAGTCATAATGGATAGTGGCAGTTGGTTTTGCGTTGCTGTAAGCAACAGAACACCTGTGCACACTCATCCACAGCACAGCAACCAAAGTTGGGTTCTTGTCGACTTGTTTTCTCTACATTATTTTAGGGTTAGGAAAAAATATGCAAATGTCAAAAAAATGTAAAAAACTATCAAATCACTTTACAGGATGGTCATTAATTATTTTAACGGTTAATTGATTGACCCCCTTAAATTGATCTCATTTGAAGTAATATGCACAACATTTGAATGGCTAAAAGATAATTAAAATATTGTGCATTCATTATTAGTTTTGAAATGATCTCATTAGATGACTGCACAAACCGAGAAAAAAAAAAACAATTTACAAAAACCCGTTAGCAAGATAATTAGAAGACATAGAAGATAACAATTAAGATACATATTAAGTTATAAATTATAAAATTAT